TGCCAGCCACAACACTGTGAATTCCTCAGGGAGGTGCCAGTCTCATCCTCTTGTATCTCCCACGCTCCCCCGGAGATGTAAGAAAATGTTTTTCTCCCTGAGCCTGGCCTTCATAATTCCATTCCATCACACAGACGTCTCATTACCCGACTAGGTAACATCATCATGATATGGGTATGGAGCCTGCAAAGTGGCTGTAATGCTAGGGAAACTGAGCGTACTCTCCTGCAGACTATGCCTTTTTAATGGTTTTTATTGTTGTTAATGTTTTTTTTTTAATTTTGGTTATGTTTTGGGTTATTTGGTTGTATTGTTTGTGTGTTTCTAACTTTGTACGCTGCTCAGAGTCACATCTGCGACATGGGTGGCTATATCAATTAACCAAATAAATAAATAAATGTTACCTAGTTGGATAATGAAATGTCTGCAAGCAAACAGCCAAGCCCAGAGAGCACCAAAAACTCCATATTGATTGGTTTGATTTATATTTAATAATATTTATATGCCACCCAACTCCCAGCGACTCTGGGCAGTTCACAAATCATATGATCACCCACCTTACATAAAGGGACTCTGGGTGGTTACATGTGATGGAATGGACTTATGAAGGCCATGTTCAGGGAGATAAGCATTTCCTTAGCCCCCAACAGGAGTGTGGGAAGTTTAAGAAGATGAGGCTGGCACCTCCCTAAGGAATTCACGGTGTTGAGGCTGGCTGGCTTGGGAACTGAGGTTCAGTCTGGAGAGATTGATGTCAGGTTCAGCCCAAAGAACTCCACCAGACAGTGCAATACAGTTCTGTTGCGTTTATTAGCTTCCACCTCAAGACAGAAATCTCTCCAGACTGAACCTCAGTTCCCAAGCCAGCCAGCCACAACCCCGTGAATTCCTTAGGGTGATGCCAGTCTAATCTTCTTAAACTTCCCACACTCCTGCTGGGAGCCAAGGAAACGCTTATCTCCCTTAGCGTGGCCTTCATAACACCATTCCATCACATTAGGACAATAAAAACATCCATAACAAATGTACTGTTATTGATAAATAAACCCATTTATTGTATTTGTTTGGCAAGACCACTTGCCTCACCCATTCTAATTCCCCCCCCCCTCGCATTTTAAGGCAGATCTCTCTGACTGCAGCAACGTGACAGTGTTCTTGGCCCCCAGTGTGGTGAGTAGAAGCTGTCCAGGACACTTTCTCTGTCAGCTAAATACAACTGGGGGGGGGGGTGGAGGGTGCTGAGCCTGGCCCCAACTTTTCCAGCATCTAAAAACAGATCCCTTCAATAACATAAGCCTGTGGGTGATCAGGGGCTGGGTGGCTGACGGGGGGAGGGAATGACGACACGTCCATGGCGATGTCATCACGCAAATGCCATGACTCAACATCCTTGCATCAGACATCCATCCACAAGAACCAATAATGGCATTTGGGGGTGTCGTTGTGGTTTGCTGTGGACGTCCACCGCACAAGACACATGCCTGGTGTCTTAATCACCACCCATTCTGTGACAAGCCTCACAAAAGAGATAGTAGCATAGCTAAAAAACTCTCGGCAATGAGCCAAGGACAGTGTCCTGGTAGTGGTGAAATAACTCTTGCTGTGGTTCCCATTGCTACGGTGCAGATCTGACGTCCTTTTGCAGGTACCTCAACTGGAGAAAAAGCTGCTTTCCGAACTCCCAGATGAGGCCTGCGTGGTGGCTGCCCGCTTTCCCTTCTTCCAATGGACCCCTTCCAAGGTGGTTGGAGAAAGTTTAGAGAAAGCCTGGGCCTACAGCATTAGAGATGTCCGACAAGCAAAAGCGGAGGCTTCAGGGAGGAGCTCAGCAGAAGAAGCAACGTTTGCTCCGAACATGAGATCCTGCAATGAAGATGGAAGGGAAGAAACACAAGAATCTTGTTTTCCTTCCAATCTTGTGTAATGGTCTATGGGAATATCCTTGAGAGACAGGAGGAGGAAGAGCCGCAGCCGGGGCAATGGTCAGATAAGAGACATCTCAGCCCAGAGAAGGAATGCAGGTGGGGAAAGCGTCTCAGAAGGGACCCTCCCTAGTTCCCTGGAAAGTAAAGAGAAGTGGGGAAGAGATGTGGTTTCAGACTGGGAAGATTCAGTTACTGTAACCTTACAATAAAGGTAGTGTTAGTACTCATGGTTTTGATTTCTTGTCTGGAGAACCCTGAAGGGCTAACATTAATCTTGAAAGTCTCAAGGCTGTCTCTCATCTGACCGTTGCCCTGGCTGTGGCTCTTCCTCCTCCTGTCTCTCAAGGATATTCCCACAGATCATTACAGCCTGTCTGAGGGATGGGGGTTCGTCCCTGCCCAAGGGATCTTCTAGGAAGGAAATCGGCTTGAAAGAATGCAGTGCTCCCAAAGACCCTGGTTTGACCCAGGAGATCAGACTGACTTTCTTATCTCCCTGGTGGTGTTCATAAGCAACCTTTAGAGTTGCTCTCTTAGCCTCAGTTTTCCATCTTCTCTATCCTGAGTTGAGTGAAGACTGCAAAGGATTGTATCAGTTATTGAAAAGCATTCTCTTATAAGTTGGCAATCCAACCATATGAGAGTTTTCTGCAAATTTGTGCCTTAAAATTCCCAAAGGAGAATGGCTTTGCAGATCATTAAACTCCTATTTCAACTAAGAGATCCTTTTATCTATGCAAGTGTATTACCATGTTGTCCATGAGGGAGAAATGGGCAATTTTAGTTTTTAGGAAGAAGCAACTGGAAAGTGAGTCATCTACAATCAGTATAACCATTTAGAGGCCTGTTGGAAAAGTTCTGAAAGCAAACTCCTTGGTACTCTTAACGATAAGTTAAGTTCAAAAAGACGAGTTAGGAAGAAGAGTTTAGAATCTTCTTTATATCCTCAGATGGATTTTGTTGTCTGGCATACATTGAGATAGTAACGTTTCCCAGTTGCTTGGAACCATGATTAAAAGATGAAGAAAACGCTTGGGAGTGTATGCTTTTTAAACAGCTACAATAACTTACAGTATTTATAATATTTACCATTTCTCTAACTCTAACACTTTGGATTCTGGGGATTATGAACCATGGTTAGTTTTCCAGAGGATATACAAAGCACTTGAACATTTGCATTGAAAGCCAATCGTGGCTCTAGCACTAAAACACATAATATTATACCATTTCTCAGACCAAGGATTAAAACTGACTTTGGGGTGACAATGCTAGGGACCAAATTCCAAAAAAGTAAATAGAGCTAGGAGAACTAGGTAGACCCAGATTAAATATGATTGAATGTACATGTTACATGAGTCTCTCAACAATAGGTCACTTTAACATCCAGAGATTTCTAGTAGATACTACTCTTCCCCTTTGTCCATACTATAAATTAAAAACAATATTACTCTGTTTCTTCATTCATTTCAAATGACAGCAAAATGGGAGAAGAAATGTACTAATAATTCTCAGCTTTTAGCAGAAGAACTGCCAAAACATAGCTTCTGGGTCACATTTCTTGGCCACGAACCTACAAGAACTTATAAGAAAGTGATCTGGAAACCATTTGCTCCCCTTTGATAGAAATGGATCTCCATTAAAATTAAACCAGCTGCCACTCTATTACTTGGAATGGGCATCCATGGGGGAGGGGTCAAAAGAGCCAAGATGGCAGGGGGCAGGGCTTCAATTGCATGGCGATGGTGGCCATCTTGGCTTTTTTGACCCCCCTCCATGGAGACTCATTAGTTGTGTCATTTGCTTTGCCAAATTACCACTTATCCAGCTGCAAAATTAAATGCCATTCCAGTGGTGTGACTCCAAGGATACCTAGTTTCGCCTTGATAATACTGATTGCCATTTTTGAGAGCCCGTTTGGTATAGTGGTGAAGGTGCTGGCGTAGAAACTGGGAGACACTGAGTTCTAGGCCTCTCCTAGGCGTGAAAGCCAGATGGGTGACTTTGGGCCAGTCCCTCTCTTTCTCATCCCAACCCACCTTACAGGGTTGTTATGGGGAAATAGGAGGCAGGCGTGTTTTCTACCTTGAGTTGATCTCTCTCAACTCAACCCAACCCAACTCAATTCAACTCAATTATCCACATATATATGGATAAACATATAATAATACTTTAGGAAGGCTTTCCAACCTGCTGAGCTGCTAAGACACTTCCTGCAAAACCTCTAAAATGCCGTGAAGATAGCTTTCATCTTAGATGGTTCACTTACCATCTACACACAAGTATTATGCTTGCATCAAAAGGTTACTATAAAGTGGTTCAGACAACTAGCAGAGCAACAGGAAAGGAGCAACCCAGTCTTAATAACATCAAAGATGGGCTGTGAGCATGGTACTTGAATTTAAAATATCCAGTTGCTCTTCATATTAAGAAAGGGAATAGCAGTATGCTATTTGTAGAAACCTGCCCTAACCCACACACACCCCCAGTTCCCAAAGAGGAAAAGGGAAGAATTTTGTGCAGGAAAGTAAAGCCTAGACCTCCTACTTGCTAGCAAACCATTCCATGTGATGTTGGCATTTCAATGTGTCTCAAATATCTATACTTCTATTTATCCAAATTTGGAATTCTAGCTTCCTGTGTGAGTGGAGAAAATGAGTGAATACATGAGTGCTCAGATAGGAGAAGAGAACAAATTGCTAATTCCTATTCCTCCCAAGAGACAGAAAGGGCTTTCTGTACAATGCCTAACTCAGTTTTGGAATTGATTCCCTGATGAAATTTGAGATGATGACTCAGATACCCTCCGACCCTTGCCGGTGTTCAAATAAAAGCAAACGAAGAAGAAAACAAATGTAGCCCTTTAAACACTAGGACTGTGTGTACATCCTTTAGAAATGATTCAGGAGGTGCAGAAATGCAAGCTCCGTACCCTTTTAAAGCAGCTGCACCTTTTTCCGGGTGATGCGGCTGCTTTAATAAGTTGAGGTGTTAAAGCAGCTGCACTTTTTCCAGGCTCACACAGAAGCCTCAAAAAGGTGCAATGCCTGCACCCCACAAAGCACCTCTTTTAAACCATTAGGAGCCTCCTATCGAATTATTTAGAGACAGCATTCACGTAGAAAACTGATACGTCCTTATATTGAGCCCAAGTTTCTATCAGTTTTATATATGAGGTCAGTCCACGGTGCTAAACATGAACTGGGATCAGACTGACACCCTGAGAACTGGAGGTGCTTCTTACCTTCGTATCAAGAGAGGGTCCTGTAGTTCTCTGAATGTGCTAATATTGTAAAGTTCAAAACATACTTTTAAACTTGGTGGGATTTTAATTCTGAAGAAGGAGACATGGAATTGCATTGGAATCTACCTATACCCTTTCTTTTGCCTACGATAGAAGCTAAGGCGGCAGTCAAAGGAGCCCCAAGCAATTTCTGATCTGCAGAAGAGCAACATCTGCCCCAACTGGGTGAGCGTGCCAAAAATCCCGTTTGCTACCTACCTCTGCAACTTTGCTGTTCCAAGGTGATTCCACAGCGGTCAGCCATGCTGCTAGGGGATCAATGAATCCCCACAGGGGAGGACACTGGTGTACTGCTCTGTTGCAGAAACATGCTTCATGGTGCCAGGCACCCCCCCCACCCCCCACCCCCCAAGACTAGAGATTGCCATATTTTACTTCAGAGAGAAATTAGGATCCTCCTATCTGCGCTGTTATTCAAGAATTATGCATCCGTCTTACAATAAAGAACTTTTCTTTATGGTGACCATGTGGTATGTACAGTGGAAGGAAGGAAAGAGCTATGGAGGGTACAAAGATATTTTATTCACTTTCCGGTTTCTGCCCAAAATTCACCCCCTCCCTCCTGTTTCCTACTGCTCGAAGAAGGAATAATAATAATAATAATAATAATAATAATAATAATAATAATAATATAGCATGTTGTGTGCAATTCTGTCTAACATCCAGTGAAGCAGCCAAGAATGGGACTTATACATCCTAGCTTTCAAGACAAGCTTAGGAAACTAAATATCTTCCTAGATTCTCTTTATGGAGGTAACAGTGGCAAAGAACAGAAGGTCCCTGGTTGATTTTATATTCTCCCCCCAACGCAATTGTATACCCCTCTGACCACCTAGAGGCATGCTGAATCTCGTCCCATCGTCTCCCTATTCATCCTGTCCTTGATGGAAAAATAAACTTTCCAAGGAAACTCCACACGTCATTCCCAGTTGAAAGTATCTCACCCATTATGGTTCCCTCCGTTTGTATATTAACTTCACACAACTGTATTCTGGATGAACCGTGACTTTTCCCAACTGATATGTTTCAGTCCTTGATGTCGTTGTTTTAGAAGAACGAATACTTACAAAAATCAACGTTTCCCCACTGTAGGACTTTGTCACCAGAGCCGTTCCTCAACGACAACAGGTTCCTTGCTGCGGTTTAGAAAATTCACCCCATAGATTCGAGGTATTGGAAATCCGCAGAGTTTCTTCTGTGTAACGCAAGCAGGTCTCCAAAAATAACTAGTTAGAAACTAGGCAACCCCTCCAAAATATAAAGCTGAAGGTACCAGAACCCCACCCCATTCTTCTTGGCTTAAAAGGCCAATACTTAAAACAAGGAGGCGTATCCCATAATAAATAATCAGGTTGGGCCTACAAAATGATACAAATCATTAATTTAAGCCTTAATCTTGTTTCCGTAAATTGGACTTAAGTATTTAAGTTCCATATATCTATATCTATCTGAATATATACATAGAAATGCATGCACACCCACACACACTCACACACCCACACACACTCTTAAAGTGCCTACCCTAACTTGTGTTAGCTCCTGCTTCCTAAAACAACCGCTCCTTTAACACTGTGAAAGAGTTTTGTGCCTGTAGAAATGAAATATTGCTTTGCTTAGCCCTTTGTGGAGTGAAACTCGTTTTCTACCCTGAGCAAACCGAGCGGGCAGAGATCTAAATTATTGCTCACAGACCTGAGAAAAAAAAAGGGGGAAGAGAAACTGGTGCTCCTTGCCAGAGAGAGCTGTATCAGTGCGCTGTAGGAAACTGGTGCGTGTTTCTCAATTCCAATGCGTTAGACAGTTCTAAATAGGTCTCTAACATCTCTGAGTTAAGTTTCCTGAAACCTGATTTCCCCCCTCCTCCCATCCCAAATCTATTTATGTACACATCAGCAGTTTGCATCTAAATTCTGCTAGCGAGGCACCTTTTTGTACCTTGCTGAAATACAAATGGCATTGCTGATGCGCAAAGAACCTAACCAGGGCCCGGGAGGTGTTTTTGTTTTTTGGCTCTAACGCCCCTAATGGGGGAGGCCACCTCAGCTAGCCTTACAATTAGGTAGAATGGTGCTGACTGGGAAGAGCCCTTTGACCCTACGAATTTTGTAAAATCCATGCAAAAATAGTAGGCCTTCCAACCCCAAGATTTGCTAATATACAATCGGAGATGGCCAGTCTTCAAGATTTAGAAGCTGTTTCAGTCTATTCTAGGGGGAAAAAGGAAGGGAGGGAGGGAGGAAGGATTTCAGGCAGGTTGCTAAAAGCGTCTCTGGGGGTCCCCGGCGCGGCCGTTCCTACACGCTGCCTGGAGCCTCCGCGGGTCGTGCCGTGGCGCAGCCTTGAGGGAAACAACTTGGTCCAGCGGGGGCCAGTCCGGTGCTCCGCGTGTTCCCAGGCGATGCTATCTCGAGACCAAAGAGCTGCTTTGCGACCGATTGGAAGAGGTGGTTGCTCCGCTGAGCTGTGAAAACCCACTAGTGCATGACTCCAAGCTTGTCATGGACCCTCTGGAAGGGGGAGGGAAGAAAGGGAAGCGGTGATTATCTTCTGGCTTTAATGATACCCCCAGTGCTTTGGCTGACGTCATCAGCCTGCTTTCTGCAGGGTTTAGCGTGTTCCGGCACAGCTGGAGTCTCACTGTCCGGCGTCCGCAGGGATCTCATGGGCTGCCAGAAGACGTCACTTCTGCAAGAGCTGCTCAGAGGGCAGATGGCCAAGAACAGACAATATCATCCCCCCCACTCCCCCAGGCGCTCGGTTGCATTGTTTTGAGCCTAGCAAAGAAAGGAGCATTTCTGCTCCTACGATTAACAGCAACAATTTGGGTCACGGTGCGCTGCTGAGAATCGCATTTCGACTCTTCGGTTGTTGGTCAAGGTCCAACCCCAAAAAGTCAGTGGAGCAAGACAAAGAAGTGGACGGAGGCAGAACCCAGCTCCCCCAAACTTTGTTTTTTTTTTAATATCATTTTTATTAAGAATTTTTAAAAGGTGATAAAAAGTAAGAACGAATGTAAAGAAAAGAGAAAAGAAAAAGACAAAAGGGCGAAAAGAAAGAACAAAAAGACATAGAAAGATGTAGCTTCCAAGTTTCTTTACAGCAATTATAAGTACCAATACAAAATTACCTTTTACTCTATGGTTACAGTAAGAAAACCTCTCTTTTTTCTATTATTTCTTTTTTCTAATCGTCAGAACCGTAAATCGTAAGTGCATTTTTTTCTGTTTCGTGCAAAAAGTCCGTAAGGGGCTTCCAGTCAGCAATAAACGTAGATATTATCATTTCTCTGATTGAAGAAGTCAGTTTGGCCATCTCTGCGAGTTCCATCATCTTCACCAAAGTCATGGAACTTCGTTTTTATATATGACAACGACAGCGAGATTATTGTACACACGAAGATGGAAAGATTCGGCACTACCCACCATGGAGGAATGGTTGGTGAAGATGATGGAACTCGCTGAGATGGCTAAATTTATTTTTATTTTTTATTTATCTATTTATTAAATTTGTCCCCGCCCATCTCCCCCCAATGGGGGACTGTGGGTGGCTACTGACTTCTTTGATCAGAAAAAAGACAATATCTACATTTATTGCTGACTAGAAACCCTTTATGGATTTTTTGCATAAAACAGAAAAAAAATGAATGTATGGTTTATGATTTTGATGATTAGACAGGAAAGATTATAGAAAGAACAGAGTTATATTGTAACCATAGAGTAAGAGGTAAATTTATGATTGTACTTATAACTGCTATAAAGAAGATCGGAAGTTACTTCTTTGTATTTTTTTCTATTTTTCTTCTACTTTTTCCCCCTTTCTTGCACTTTTAGCTTTCTCTTTGATTTCTTTCTTTTCTTTTCTTACTTCATATTAGTTTGCATTAGTTTTTATCTTCCTTTTTAAAAATCTTTAACAAAAATTATATAAAAGGGGGAAAAAAGGAGCCAAAGGGTGCCCCAAGGTCTCCCGCTGAGCATATCTAAGGATGAATTCCAAACAGAGGGCCCCTCTTCTTGCATGACCCCCTATTTTGCAAAGAAGGGGAGATTGGCAGGGAGGAATGCTTTTCCCTTTAATGTTCCATCTCTCCTCTGCTCTTCCTTGGTGGGAAATCTGGTCTTGGACCAGATGAAAGAAAAACCCCTGGAGGTGAGGCATTGCAGAAGAAAATTAGCGAGCGGGGAAAGATGAAAGAGCAAACTGCCTTGAAAATCCTCCCCATCTACAGCTCTTAAGGAAAAGGGATCTAGAATCCCATAGTTGCCCTACTTCTGTTCAGAAAGAAAATATACACCCTGTTTTCAGGGATGGACGGGATGAAAAGCAGGAACTAATACACAAAGAAGAGAAAGTTACCTTGCCCCAGGCATCTGGCTCCATTTTCTTTCTCCAATGAAACGTCATTTAAAAAAACAACAACAACCCTGCTATCCCTGGATGAATTTGGGATTGCATCCACGTGATTCACCTTCACAAGCTGCAGATACGATACCCATTTCACCAACCCATCCATTAGTGTGCTGCATCGTGCAGGGTCAAAGGCAGGGCGGTGTATCAAAGCGAAAAGGATTCAGGCAACTGTTGCACCCCGTGAAAGTGGTTTTCGAGAAGCCCCCCATAAGACCACAGATCACCCCAACATCTCCCCCCTTACCTGAAGTCCTTGGAGGCAAGCACCTCATAATAATACAGGATCTTGCATTTGTGATTAGAGACCTGGAGTGTGGCCAAGACATCGTCAACTCGAGAGAGGCTGGTCCCAGTGCAGGGAATTGGGCTATGCATTTTCCACTGGAGGATGTAAAAACCTGGCCAGCGAGTCACATGGGAGCCCTGAAAACACAGATACAATGAGAAATGCAGGCAGGCAGGTGTAAACAACGTGTTGGTTTGTATCTGCTGAGTGAGGCTTCCAAGTCATCTTTCCTCTTGGTATCTTGAAAGAAAGACGAACCCTAAAGGGAAATTCTTGATGATTCTGTAAGATTCCCACTGAGCTGACCCCTTAATGTTTCCCACTGAAGCCAGCCTTCCTAGCTAACATACAAAGCACGTCCTCCTTTTTAAGGGTTCGGGAGCTGTAAAACCATCTGTAGTCTGGAAAGATCTGGGGCTCCTTCGATACTTATCAGGGGCTGCATAATAGCAACCTTATCATGCCAGATACATGTTTATGGAAATAGGTTCATCTGGCATGATTCTAGGTTCAGATATGGACTTGGGGACATGGCTCCCTTTGATTCAGGCATTTTTATAGATAGCTGTGATTTTTCATGCCCACATAATACTGGCACAGGTAATGTACATCTGTGTATCTCTCTATCTATCTGTCTATCTATTTCTCTGATATCTCACATCCTTCACAGGGTATTTATTATTGCTTATTACTGCTTTATCTCTTATTCTTTCCTCTTATCCATTTCTTACAGTCAGTTAATACATATAAAATTGGAGTGGCAAAAAGGTAATGTACATCTATCTATCTAACCATCCATCCATTTCTCTGCCTATCTATTTCTGCCTATCACATCTTTCGTGTTGCTTCTTGCTTTATCTCTTACTATTTCAACTCACCCTGCAATCCATTTCTTACAATAAGTTAATACCTATAAAATCAGAGTGGCAAAATACTCTTCATGCTAAGTATGTTACAAAGAGCAGGGATCCGAAAATCTTGATGAGCCGAGGGCCACGGAAAGCTTTCTGACAACGCAAGTGACTGATCCAATGTGTCCACCAGCTGCTGAGTCCGAGGAATTGCCAGCCCCTGTTAAAATCCCACGGGACCATGGAATCGGCTCGCATCTCTGGGGACAGCTTGCTTTCTCATCATGATTAGGCCCAGCAGCACAGGATCGTTTCAGTGGACCAACTGACCTGGATGCTCTCGCCTTCTCGGCAGACCAAGGGAGTCTCCACTCGGCTATAGTCTACCCCCAGGATCCAACTCTTGCCAATGAGTTGTACGTTTTCCCCAGCCGTCAAAGCAGTTGGCATCACAGATTCCTTCCGAACGGTCTCAGGTGCTCGTTTGGAATGGAAAAGGCTGAACACCACATCCCCTTTCAGGATGTCGAAATCCCAAGTGATCACAGATTCACCTTCCAGGATCTCTACCACTATCTAGATTAGAAGACAGAAAAATCTAATGTCCACTCATCCTTCTTCAAGAGGCTGCTGATAAAATTAGACTTTCGAAGATCCAGTCAACAATGGGGCTTTTCCTGCTAAATCTGCCTGGTTGGGTTTTGAGCCAAATAATCTCTTCTCTGAAAAACTTCTTATTAGGATTCTACAGGGCTTCAGACTTGAAAAAGATTCTTTAGAGCACATGTGGGGGTGTGCGTAGGATGGTGAAATGTCCAGCAGGCACATGGGGACATGGTGGAGGAAACAGGACAAGTTCCAAAGAGACATTTCAGTCCGGAGGTAGGGAGACCATGAGAAAGATTCAGAGTAAGTCCATCTTAATTAAACTAGGTATAAGTTGATCAGGAGTATTGCCAAGGCAGGCTTTCAAGATTGATGTCAAGTCCTTTGATGCTCACAAACTCAGGGAACAAGAACCACTTGAATTTCTGGACAATCTTTATTACTAGTAGGGTAAATAACAGAAACTTGAAAGCTTACCAAAGCAGTTCTCCAGGTCAACTTATACTTAGTGTAATTATAGTGGAATTACTCTGAATCACTTTCTCACACTCCTCCCTCCCCTGGGCTGAGGGGTCTCTTCTGTAACAGTTTGGTTTTCTCCACCAAGTTCTCAGGGCCTGATAGACATTCCATCAGCTATAGCATCCATTTGCAACTCCTTCAACTAAGCATGTCTTTTCCCAGGATCACGCTTCAGCTCAGTCACACATTTGCAGGAAAGGTGCATCTGCTTTAAGGAGTGCAGGTAGGGACCATGTGAGCCCTGTGCACACTTTGAAGCATCCCATTGCTTCTGAATCCAAAGCATGACCACTGATATTTAAAGGGTAAATTATCACCCCCTCTGCTTTGACCATTTCAAATTAGTTGGTGGAATATCAATTGAAGTTGGAAATAGCCTCACATCATGAAACACATCTATTTCACAAGACCACCATAGCTTGCAGAGGCTTAAAGTAGCTACCAACAAACTGAGTTTTAAATCTTTTCTCTTTCCTGCATGACATATTCACAGCAGATGAAGGGGCAGGTCATCAGAAATATGAAGGAACAATTTTCTCCTTACTTCTTGTTTCTCCAGAACCTTGTCCAAGTCATTGTTGGGTGGCCTAGGTCCTAAACAGGCCTATCTGCTGCCTGTTTAGGACTGAAACACTTGAGATCTGTCTGATACTCTTTCCAACCCTCCCATTGAACAGAAGGTGCTCCTTGGTCTTACCTCTTGGGGAGCCCCTTTGAAAATATTTGCAGAGTGATAGATGGTTTCTGTCCAGAGACGAATATGATCAGCAGTTTCAGACTCTTCATCTGTTTGATACAGTGACTTGGGGACAAGGCCACCTTCAGGCACATTACACTGTGGGTGGGGGACAGTTGGATAGTTAGATAAGATACTTTTGTAAATGTCCACCTTCCAAATAGGAAGACCTGTTGTTTTCCTGATCTTCTGTCTACAGCTATGAAAGCTTCTTCAGAATTCTCTCCAAACTCAACAACAGTGATTGGTTCTTGATCTGACTGATCCTTTTTGGACAAAGAACTAAGGAAGACCAGGCCAGATTAGTACCTGGATGGGAGTTTACCAGGAATCCAAGGGCATCTCAAGAAGGCAATGGCCAACCACTTCTATACTGCTGCCAAGACAATTGCATGGTGACAGAGTTTTGACTCTGCAGCAACTCAGCCCTTAACTAGCAGAGTAAAGTTTCACAAGCTCAAGTCGGCAAGAGAAGCTGCTTTACTGCAAGCAAGCAAGAAGTCATATATATACAATTCTATCAACTTCAGAATATAGCAATCAAAGTCTATAGATATACATCAGCCTCAGAGTTTAAATCCTAGATCTGTTCCTCCAACCCTTTTGAGTCAATGGGACTTTCCACGTTTCTGGCTTTGAAAATCAGAGATATCTGTTCCAAGTTTATGTAACGATTGTCTCTAGACTGAGAATTGTTGGTTCTCACCTCACCAGCTTCAGACTCTGCATGTGGGTATGTTGATTTGTGTCATGTAAAATCTTTCTATGTGCTCGCTAAGAGTCAACGCTGGCTTGACAGCACATAATCAAAAATCAATTACTGAGAGTCAAGTTCAACTCCAAGCTGACTTTACTTGATATTGGTACGGATGTCCCAGATATCAGGAATGTTGCACAACCTTATTACCAACCATTGATAAGAACGTTAAAATCCAAACAAGGTCTATCTAAAGGTTATATGCTACAGGCTTTATCCAAACATACCACACATTCTCCTCCGAGGAAGTCTGGAATCACATCCTTTTCCAGATAATCTACAAGTCCTCCAGGACCTTGATAATTGTTGCCACTATAAATGAGGAACTTCTGCCTGGTGTTTTCATTGATAAAGGGGCTAACCTAAAATTGATAGGAGAAAATGTTGCTGTTTCAAGGTATCATCTGCTCTCTCAAATATTCAAGGTTCATACTTTAAGGAAAATACATGCCCGAGAAACCGAAATAAACTCAACCCTTTGCCATTTTAACTTTGATCCTAAACTCTGAAGTACAGAAACTATTTCTTATTCCACAGAAATACTTCTTTTTCAAGGTTTCCCACTTTTCCCATTTGCAAAATGAAAAAAGTCAAAAAAAGAACACGGAACCCCTAGAAAGAACCCTCTTTCCTCCATTATTGTGCAAATCCTTATAATTAAATTTACAATGAAACGAGGAACCATAATCAAAAGATAAACCATGCATAAAACAAACTTCAAGTGGCAACTGCTCTAGAAAAAGACTTGGACCAAGGAGCTATCCAACGGCACGTACCTATCGGCAGAAACCACTTTCCTAAAGGTGCTGTTTTTTAAACCCTTCTTGAAAGACCACCACAAAGGGAAAATAGGGTTCCCCCTCATCCTCGCTCACCAAAGTCCAGAGAACAGGGAACACCCTGGGCGCTCGCACAATCAGAAGCCTTCCTAAAGTCTCTGGATAATTGTCCTCCACGACTTCGATAATCCTCAGGAGAGCTTTTACTCCAGGACGCCAGAGATGACGCATGTTCAGTCCTTCAAGGTCAACTAAACAGGTCCAGGATCTAAAAGGGAAGAAACATATGATGCTATGGGCCATCTGTGCATTGGCATTGCTCAACTCGCTAGTCCTCAGGGCACAGGATCTGGCCCAAGTACCACTTCCTCGTGTAAAATGTTGGGAGTTTTCACAAATGCCATTCAGCACAGCACTCCAATCTCCCTGCATTTGTCAAAAGTACGAAAAAGCTGATTTGTTAACTGAGGCCATCATGCTGATGGAGTCTCCTGAATCCAGCAAGGTGCTAAATGATCCCAAATGTTGATATGTATATGTTGCATAACGAGATGCATACTAACGAGATGGGCCGGCCAAAGACGTTGGTGTTTTCTTCACATCTCTTTTGTCCCTCCTCATTAATTGACAAGACCTAAAACGAAAGCAAGGACAAATGTCTGATTATGACATATGAAAATATCCCTCAATTCCAGGCCTTGCATGTAATGATCAGGTCTTACACTGGACGGAGAAACACACCAGTTCTTTTTACAGAATCCTTTAATCTGAATGTGCAGAGGGGTGTAGCTCTTGCTTTGTGGAGGGGGTGGGAGAGGAGAAAGTTATTTGGCCCCAGGAAAGCAGAAAGTGACAGAAAGAGACTCAGAACAGCCTCATCTTGAACTGGTTGGCCTTAAAAATGGGCAGCAAAGGTTTTGGAGATACTTTCAAGATTGATGTCAGCCCCTCAATGTAGGCCAGGTCAAGAAACTCTGACAAGAATTCCAGGAATGCTACTTTACTTTGTAGGGTATATTAACAGAATCTTGAAACCTTGTCCAGCTCCCAGAATTCTGCAGCCAACTTTAAGATATGTGGACTTCAACTCCCAGAATTCTTTCTCCCAGTTTCTTCTTTCTTGGGGCTAAGTTTCTCCTCTGCTGGCTGGGGAATTCTGGGAGTTGGAGTCCACACATCTTAAAGTTGCTGAGGTTGAGAAACACTGCTCCTTGCAACCCCTGTGGACTCTTGCGATTTTTAAATTGCTGTTTGTTGGAGCTTTTGAATTTCAAAGTTTGGTTAATAAAGTTATGTTGTGCTGGGAGAAAGAATTCTGGGAGTTGGAGTCCACACATCTTAAAGTTGCTGAGGTTGAGAAACACTGCTCCTTGCAACCCCTGTGGACTCTTGCGATTTTTAAATTGCTGTTTGTTGGAGCTTTTGAATTTCAAAGTTTGGTTAATAAAGTTATGTTGTGCTTGTTACGTTGTCATTGATTGTCTTGAGTGGACAAGGTGTGCATATACTTTAAAGGCATCTGGACTCCCAAACAAATGTAGCAACTGTGCAATGCAGTAACGCAATCCTGAAGTCTTGCTAGTTGGTCTTCACTATGCCTATCAAATAGAACTTAAGACTTGCCAGAAGTCCCTTGAGAAACGACATTTGTCAAAGCTAAGGAGGTAACTTAAAGGTGTATCTCACGTGGCGAAGAAGTGACTCCTCTCCTAGAGCCTTCACAAGACCTTTTGTGTCCATTTGCCCCAGTCGAAGGATGTAGAGAGGTCTTCCATCTTGAAAAACAAAGAATGAACAAAGAAGCTGAAAAAAACTGCCCTGCAAGATGGAACAAACTTCCAGAAACACGAAAATCAGCAGCATTTGTCCAACTTTCAACTTCCAGCCTGTGACAATATACAAATTGCTGTTGAAATTAAAGATTCTTACCTCAGTAGCTCAATGTTGAGCATGCAACATTGACCTACACCTTTGATATGCATTACTTGCTGATGGTAAAACCTTGGAATACCAAGGAGAGACGTTTCTACAGTCTTCTCCCTATCTTTGATGGGCATCAAAGGTGGCAGATGTCATCAGCTCAAGTCTGATTCTCTTGCATGCATGCTTTCAGGAAAAGAACACTTTCACTGCTCTTGGGTTTAGAGGAACAAACTGTCTTTTTCCTTTTACATTTGCTCTTCTGAGGACAGTATACACCCTTGATTCACCCTCTTTTCTATTCTGAATCACTCAGTTTCTCCATGCTCAGGTCTTAAAGCAGTTTGCATGTTGTAAAGCTTCCTCAGAAAAATAATCAGGCATGCTGATGTGCCCAGGGGCCCACATTCTGGCACGTCCTACACAAAAGCCTTGTGGTACTCAAGGTAAGCCTCCCTCTTAACCTCTCTTAACCATCTTGATGTTAGTTATCAGATTTCATTTCCTTCTGCCCTCCTGAAACCTGTTCATTTGGCATCTCTCTCTCCATGAACGGCTCTGCTTTTAAGATAGTGAACACACCTTTGCTTCTAGGAAGAATTCAAACCATCCTGCATTAATCTGCACATTCTCTTGCAACTCCCTTCTTCACTACTGTAGGGGCTGAGATTGGAAAGGCAGGATGGGCAGTTCTCAGGTTGAAAGAGCTTTTATTTATCTATGTATTTGATTTTTATCCTGCTTTTATTTTTGGTGAATTCAAGGTGGCCTACATACTCAATGCTCCTGCCTCCTATGTTCCCCACTACAACCACCTTGTATAGGTAGGTTGGACAGAGAGAGGTGGACTGAACCAAAGTCACCCAGCTGGTAGTCATGCTTAAAGGAAGACTAGAACTCACAGTCTCCTGGTTTCCAGCTCAGCACCTTAGCTCCTACACCAAACTGGCTCTCTATTAAGTAATCATATTTCAGCCACTGCCCAAGGCCATCAAATGACCCACCAATTATCTGTTAATTTGGAAGAGTGGGACAAAGAAGCCTAGCATTTAGACACTGGAGCACGGATATATGGGCAGTCAGTTGATGCGCTTGAGACATCATGCAATAAAGGTTCTTTAGCTGCGTCATGTCTGGGTGTCTTCTGCCACCTCTATCCGAGAATCGAATTTGGGGTTAAGTATCTGCATACCTGGGTAGCCTCAGAACTATAGGTATATATACACCAATCTTTTCCAATCTAGAGGCCACGTAGTCTTGTTCTATATTTGTTGGCATAGAGCTGTCAGCGCTTTAATTGCCTCTTCGGCTGTAGTTCTAAACAGTCTGGTGGCTATCTCCTCTGCTTCTGGTTCATTCTGACGTGGCAGCTAATCTATTGCCTGTTATACCCCAGTTTTCAGCAGAGCCAGTTGCTGAATATATTTTCTCCCTGACATTCTACAATCCTGCTTGTAAGATGTTGTAGAATAGTGTTTCCTCCCTCCTTTAACTTCCTTTATTTCTATTAGATCTCCTTCATTGTTATTCTGGAATCTTCCTACCTTAGCTGTACGTTTTCTGATGAGTCCTTCTTTAAAATATCTGATTTTCCTTTGATTGTTATATTTTTTTTCCTATTTGTTCCCATTCTTGGCTGGAGGGCCTTTATCCTCGGTTGCTTGACATTCGAGTCTGCGTTCAGTAATCATATATACTTCTTGTTGCCTGCGGCTTCTATCCTCCCGTTCTTTGGTTACCATGACAGCTTATTCTGAATGCCACTTGGATCTTTTCCTTTTTTATTTATTTTTTCTGCCTTGGTTTTCACAGTAACTCTTTCTCTCTTCCCCCAGTTCCTCAGATTCTCTTCTGCATATGTGGAAGTGTACTGAATCTGTTCCTTTCATCGATCTTGTATTCCAGCTGTACGTCTTCTAGTTCAAACCTTGCTGACACATCTCCTCTATCTCCTAACTTTTCTACCTTTAACCTATCTTGATACCAATCATTCAGGGTCTGCTCCACCATCAACATCTGGAGGTGTCCTGGCTGGCTGAATTGCATTCTTCCTCCTCTGTTTTTTATTATGTCAATTTAATTCCAGTATTATGCATTCCAGGAGCATCCATATTTAGACTCTGGATTTACGTCACTCGATGCAATTTTTGCAATAAACAAGGAATTCTCTTTGTAAAACTTTATTAGCCTAATTCCTGCAACACTGTACAAATCTACCTTGATTTCAGGTCCCTCTGTTTCTGCAACTTCGGCATTTTAATCACCTATTAATAGCACTATCTCTTTTCTGGATGTTGCGTTTAGCCACTCTTGAAATTTGACATGGTATCCTTCACTGTTGCATCTGTAATAGGTGCACACACTTATATACCATTGATATCCACTGGATATTCATTAATTCTAATAGGAATAATCCTGTTGCTTATTGGGTCATACCCAAATATATATTTAGCAATATTTTTTTGAGGATTACTCCATTCCTTTGTATGATCCCAAGCCATAAATTATGGAACAGTCTGATTTAAATTGGCCCCCACGTTCCCCAAGGGTGCTTATTCCTAAAACTTCTAATTTAATGTTCTTCATTTCCGCTTTGGCAAGTTTAAGCTTTCTTTGATTCATGTTTCTTACATTCCTCATTCCAACTTTGTAAAAAGAGAAATGGATGGCTTCTTTATGTTAATTAGGCATCTACAGCCAACACAACAACATTTGGGTATTGGAAGATATACAGATGCAAGAACAGTCTATTATATTTCACTGAAAACATTCCAAAATGATTGCTGAAGAATATTCTCATCCTATTTTCTTTGCAGGAAACAGAAAGAACACTTCATGCTGGCTCAGGGGTTGGCATCTTCTCTGTGGGGGGCAGAGGCCATGCCACCACTGCCATTTTGGGGGGACTAGCTCCCCCCATGCCAAGGCAGCTGGTGAAGCTGTTGTCCAAATGGCCACCAAGCACTCTCCCCCTCTCTCATGTGGGCCAGGTAAATGTATTTCTTTTGGGGACCACGTGTGGATCATTTCAGTGGCAGGCCACATCTGGCTCATGGGCTGTAGGTTGCTGACCCCTGACTTGGATGAAGCAATAAGTAGATTGAAAAAATGAGAGCAACTAGACCAGTGGTTCTCAACTGGTGCGCCCCAGCACACAGGTATGCCATGGGCTTGTTTCTAGTCTGCCATGAGATTTTTATCTTATTTCCTAAGTCCTAAATGTATAACTTAATAAAAATTATACAACTTCCCCCTGAACCATGTCTTACACATTTAAAAATACATATACATGATTAATAATTTTCTGGTGTGCCACAGAACTACTGCTATACTCATGTCGCAGATTCAAGAAGGCTGAGAACCACTGAGCTAGACAAAGAAACTACCAACAATGCATTTTTGAAATGGACCAGAGGAGAACATGAAATGCATAGCCACTCTCCAAAATGTTATTGTTCAGGGCCTTAGATATCTTCGCGGGGCAGAGGAGAACAACAAACGACAAACTGTGCATTGTGACATCACAATGCAAACCATGTGACTTACATATTTGCATACAATGTTGGTACGTAATGTAGAGAGTAAGGAAGGTGACCTTGATGGAGGGATGAAACATATCTTAAGTCCACAACAGACAGAAAATATGCAGAAGGGGCTCAGACAGACACCTCCCTAATTCACTGGCGTATAAGAAGGGGAGGAGGTACAGCACAGTCAGACTTGCAAAACTCTGTTCTTATAGCCACTTTCAATAAAAGTAGTTTTAGCTTCCCTGTGAGTTGATCTCCTGGTCTGGTCTCCCTGGTGGGGCTGACAGAGAAGTATAAAAAGCCAGGCTTTGCGTTGTGAAGTGACCATATTGCCATTTGCATTGACCACAGCTACTAAGGCCTTGTAGACATTGACCCTTTGCCATGATACAAGACCATTCTTTTGATTTCTTGCCCCCCTTTGGAATTACTTTTACGTGCATTTAGGCATTCACAACTGAGATACACACGCTGAACCATAATCGCAAATTTAACCGTGTACAAAAGAAGCCTCACCCAAGGCAACTGCTTGACAAACGGCTCACAGCATTTGTGATGAACTTTCATGCCAAGACACAGCACAGTGGACCACAGGGAGAGTCTCACCTTTGTCTTGGTAGTGCCAACCCCCAGCATAGTATTCTTCCAAAAGAGAAGGGGGCCTCCATGTTTGCAGGATGTAATCCACCTGGTATTGTTTTCGCCATGCCAAGGACTGACAGAGCATTTCCCGAGCCTTATCAATATTGAAGTCCCGAGCCCTCAGAAAACGGAGGATGTATTCATCTTTGGGAACCTGAGCAAAAGAGAGAGACACAGTAAAGCTAAGTCTCAGTTTATTTATTAGATTTGGAATTCCACCTTTCATCCAGGAACCCCATGGGGATCTCCTTTCACCATATCCTGTGGGGTAAGTCAGGGCTGAGAGAGGAGGAGGGGCCCACAGTACCTCAGAGAGCTTCTGTGGGTGAGAGTGGACTGGAACCTGAGTCTCCCCACTCCTAGTCCAGCACCTTCACTGCTGAACCACTCTTGAGCTAAGAGGAAATGACTGACCCAAAATCATTCCAAGAGCTTCTATAGCTAAGCGAGAACTAGGACCCAGTTCTCCTCAACTCTTAGTCCATCTTAACCTCTACCCCACACTGGCAGTTGGGCTAAGGAAGGAAGGACTAGTCCCAAGTCCTCAGGGAGCTTCCATGGCTGAGGGTGGACTTGAACCCAGGTCTTCCTAGTCCTACTTCACCACTTTTCTTACTACACCTAATTGGCTCTTGGGTTGAGAAGGAGGGACTGGCCCAAAGTCATCCATGGATGAAGGTGGAATTGAACCCAGCCCTCCCTGTTCCTAGTCCAACACTTCCACCATGACACCACCAAAACAGCCACCAAGAGAGGTCCCCCCAAAAAAGAAGTCATGGCAGACAGCTCCCATAGTGTTGCCAAGAAAGCAACACAGATGTGTCCACAGTGTCACCAGCAGTCAAGCTCAACAGCACAGAGCCTTTCCTGATCATAAGCGCATCTTGAAGTCGCACAGCAAGAAAAACAATTCAAAGAGGTCTTCCCGATAGAAGCAAATGCAATTTGGAGGCATGTTTCCAGCTTCCCTTGCTTTGTCAGCCACTAATGCAAACTGTTCCCATTTCCTTCACAGGTTCAGCAGTGGGACAGAAGCATCCAGGGAAGATGTGAGTTATACATAATCAATGAATCTGGGTCACAGGACGGCTGCTTTGACTTCATTATTTCCTCCCTCTAGATAGGCTTCCCTGCCCCCATTTACCTTTCCTTTCTGCATTTCTTGCAGCCACTGGCGGAGTCTGATCAAGCAGCTTTCCTGCATGGGACTTAATTGTCCCAGGTAACGTTCTATATAATCGGCATCCAGTTTGTCCCCTAGGGAGACAGAAAAATTAGCTATGGGGGAAGCTAATCAGTAACGCCATTAATGCATTTCTTGCCATTTGCTTGCAGACATTGTGTAAGACTTTTACAGGTAGTCCTCGCTTATTGACTGCCTTGCTTAGTGACCATTTGAAGTTATGACACTGCTAAAAAATAACTTTATGACCAATGCCCACATTTACGACCTTTGCAGTGTCCCACAGTCCCATGACCACCATTACAGTCAGTATGCGTTGCTCTGTGCCTGACCTGTTGTTTTTCCTTCCCCTGCCCTTGCAGAATGGAGAGATTGGAGAGGAAGAGATTACAAGAGAGTAAGCAGGCATGCAATGGGAAATACACATTGAAAGCAACATGCTGGCGCCAGCAGCGGCGAGCGCACTACACAAACAGCCCAGTGTATTCCCCATTGTGTGCCTGCTTACTCTCTTGTAATCCCTTCCTCTCCAATCTCTCCACTCTGTGTGGGGGAGTAGAAAAAACAAACAAACCATTTTTGTAGGCAATTTCTCCTGTGCCTGACCCATTCCCCCCCCCCCCCCACAGAGTGGAGAGACTGGAGAGGAAGGGATTACAAGAAGTAAGCAGACACACAATGGAGAATACATCGCCGCTGCTAGTGCCAGCACATTGCTTTCAATGAGTATTCCCCATTGCATGCCTGCTTACTCCCTTGTAATCCCTTCCTCGCCAATGAATGTAAATACAAACATAATTCCTTTCTTGCTAATTATCCCGGCGCCAGGGTGAGCATTCCAAAGGGGGGTTGGGTGGGGAAAAGGAAAGTCCATTTGCAGTCACGTAATTTCCCACTTAGCCACCACTTTTTTAGCGACGGAGCTGCCGTTCCCAGTTGTGGTCGCTAAACGAGGTCTACCTGTAATCTTGTTCAAAAACTGTTAAGGTCTGCTCTTGAGGGTGACATGCAGTTTGTTATTTCCTAAAATGGTTCTTCCTCATGTTCCTCAAGAAGAACCATAGAATGTTTTAAAAACATGGGGCATTTGAATTCTTCTGCTGGCCTTGCAAGACAATTGAGGGCTCTTTGACTCATATTACTTGGTCTTTTCCAGCTATGCTCCCTTTTGATTTCCAGTTAGAACATAAGTTAATAGTTCTGGGGGGGGGAAAATAGCAGTTAAAAATGTCAACGTGATGTTGACTCATCTTCCCAAAATATAGAATTTGACATTTCATAAATAACGTTGGTTTTATCGAGTCTGGGGCTTGACAAAGAATTATTTTACGCAGATGGAAATAAATGGGTTCTCCTGATGATAAGAAATAGATGCAAGATATGTGTTCATTATCAATTTCTGAAACATCTTTATATTACAAAAAAATGAAAAGATGGAGCAATATGCTTCTGTACGATCTACATTAAGTTTAAGGGCTGAATTAATTTTATTCTGACATTACACATATCTTTTTTTTTCGTTTCTTTTTTCCCCTCCTCTATGTTAAGTTTAAGTACAGTCATTGATATATTCTTTTGTTTGTTCACTACAATAATATTAATAATAAAATCTGGAGAGTTTCAATTCTACTCATCATTTTAATGTACTTTTTTTTCCTCCTGGTTCTTCTGACCTCTATCACCTTGCACATACCTATTTGTTTTGAGAATCCTGCAAGGGAGATGGAATTATAACTCTAATGACATGCTTTAACTCTTCGGGACAGGGCACCAGGCTGGAGGCATCTGACATGGCAATTGTGCTGAAGCCATGGTTGGAGTCAAGCACGTCTCTACTAGGGCACTGCTTAAGAGTTCAATCTGTGTGATACAAATGGGATAAAACCCTTTTAAAAATCCTAATCGGGTTTAAAAAAGAATTCTAAATTACCTAAATCAACGGGGAGAGACAAGCAAGCTTTCAAATGGATTCCTCCTTTTTTGGCCTCCCTTCCCAAGCAGGGAGATGTGAAGGGAAATGCAAGGTCATCAAGGCTTACGAAAGAAGCTGGCTGGAAGGAAACCAGCGCTTTGGCGAGGTGGGTTCTTGCTGAGTAGAAGAGGGCAACCAGACCAAACAAGAGAGAAAGGAGGAAAACGCTCTACAGCCATCAGGGTTTGGAAGCCCATATGCAACCAGCTGATAGCTAATCGGACACTGTACCAGGAGGAGAAGGATCCTGGGACTGCAGCTGTGCTGGAAGCCACTTGAAACAAAGAACAGGCACGCACGCCAGAGGCGAGAATGAAAGAAAGGGATTTTCTCAACTGGGTCCACAGGAGAGGACCATATGATTTGTCGTCGGTCCAAATGCAAGTTTACTGCAACTTAAAACAGGCACAAAAGGCCCCAGGAACAGCAGAACTGCAGAAGTCCAAGGATCAAAATGAAGTTCTCCAGGTTCTCCTGAGCGTACATCTTGGAAAGACCATATGGCAAATGAGAGGTAGTGCATTAAAAAACCAACGGAGGGAAGATTAGTGGTTGTACCGGGTCAACATCCAAACTGGTAAGAACATTTGCAGAAGAATGGTGAGGCCAATTCAACCAACTGCCAAGGATCCAGTGGCTAGAAGAAATTACCTTCAGGGGTTGAAGCCTCCACAGAAGAAGGCTCTTTCTCACTTCCCTGGGGGTGAGATTCTTGGGATACGGCACCATTATTGCTTCCAGATGGATTCCTCTTCCTGAGATCCCCCGTGACTTCGGGAGGAGTCCACCGAGGGACAAAAGTGATCCCTTGTGATATCAACTCCTTTAGGTAATGCTCTATGACTTCTTTGCCCTGGAAGGAATTGATTTATTACATGTATGATCCAAGCTGCCCAGCCTGTTCTGAAGATGCCAAGAGATTTTGCGCAAAGACTCTGATTGGGTCTGGTTTGATCTAGCGAGTCTTGCTTCAATCCAGATTTATGTGCTGGGGCTGGAAAACTCCCAAACAGTAACTTCCTACTAAAGATTTTCAGCATAAAAGTAATTTACACTATCAACATAATACTTTTTTTTTAAAGGAAGAGCTTTAGTACTCTTATACCTTTAACAGATATACATACGCAAGTCTGAATATCACCGTTTAAAGCAGTGTTTCTCAACCTTGGTAGTTTTGAGATGGGTGGACTTCAATTCCCAGAATTCCCCGGCCAGCATGCTGGCTGGGGAATTCTGGGA